AAAAGTCCGGGTCTGCCTCCCTTTCTTCTCCTTCTGCTGCTCACCATCTGCTTCAGAGAGACTTTTTCTAGACTCTCCTTTGATCCCCATTTCAAAAGAGGGATCCTGGACCAGAGGGTTCCAGTTTTCCCCAGAGAGCTCTTCTCTGGAGTTGCTGGCAGCACCGCAACAAAGCCCCGCCTCTGTCTTCAGATGGACTTCCACGGCAACCAGCTAGCCTACCATCTTTAGTACAATATGCTTTCCACTAGCAACTGTAATATGTGGGGGCAGGCCTCGACGGACTATTTGGGTCTGCCATTTTGTTATTGGGAATCTGAGGGCATAAATCATGGGTTTTGGCTAATGTGACCGCTGCTCCATTGCCAAGGAAGACATGGATCACCAAAATGGAAGCTATTATTTATCCACAGCATCATTTTAGTTTTGCTTAATACTGCAGTCAAATGGCTTGGTAGTGCATCCATTCGCTTTGCTAGCCATTTGGCACACTCCTGCTGAGTTAAAGCTTCTGCTTTGGAGCCAGAAAAGAGCAGCAGTATTTTGCTTCCTTGTCTTCTTTGTCTCTCGGGGCTATCCTGTAAGGCCTGGGGATCTCCTAGACATAAAGGGTGGTAGCCTACTTAGTGAGCAGGAATGTTGTCAGTCCAGAAGATACGTTGGCCAGGTGCAGTTTTTAATACAAGCTACATCTGCTTGAAGTTCCTCCTTCACACAACTATTAAAGATACAAGAGATCTGTCCCTCTGTTTCATCTAGTGCCCCCAACTGGAAAATCAGTTTGATGTGGTTTAAGAAAATGGGAACCTGGAGTAGAGATGACTGGCTCTACTGGGCTTCCTGAAAGTTTCCCTTTCTAGCCCCAGGGAATTCATGACACATGCTAATTCTAGTTTTGAATTATGCTCAAAATTATAAACAAACTGTTTTTGGTCTCTTGGAGAGGATGAAGTTAAAAAGACCCTTAAAAATTTTATTTAAGCTTAAGCTTAAGCCAAATTTGTAAGGCCATAGTTTTGATATGGCATATATTTTGACTACCATGTCATTGCCTTGTTGTTTTGTAGTTTCATTATATTTTGACTCGAGGCTATGAGCAATAATTATCAAGCAATAGGAATATCTAGCAATTACCACTGAGCAGATGAAGAAAAAAAGGTATCTTTCTTATCATGACATGAATAAACCATAATTGAGTTTTTCAGTCACACCTCTGAAAGCTGCAGACAATCATTTTTGGAAAAGACTACAGTTCTAATCTATGTGCACAATTATTTTGTCTTATTCTTGTCTCTATAAAAATCATTTCTCATAAAAGGTGAAAGCCTCAGGGCCATCCCATAATATTTTGCTGCCTAAATCAAGATGGTGTCTCTCTGTGCTCCATGTATAAATGTTAGTCAAATTGGCAGGTGGATTTTACCTCAGGAATGACAAGACAGTACCTTCTACTGTACCTGGGGACAGCAGGCTAATTGGCACACAGAAATATATCTGCTAACACCTTATTTTGACTTCTTGCCCCACAATACGCCTCACTCTGCTTAATGGTAGGGGCAGTTCTCACAATCCCATATATATTTTCTAAGAAATAAGCCCCACTCTGTTAATTGGGCCTTAAAAAACAATTGAGAAACTCATTCATTTCATACAGTATCCTGAGTATATGTTCTCACAGAGAGAGAAAGAGAGACTAATTTGAAGCAACTGGACTGAAACGCCATCGCTGTGGAGAAATTAAATTATTGGTTTCTGTCTTTATTTTGAAGGCCCCAGAACCCACAAAATTTCCTCTGCTCAATGCTTTTGCTTTTACTAATCAGCATTCACTATACAGGTCTTACCTTGAGATGTCAGATAGTGGAGATTTTTATTTCCAAGCCAGTATTCACCATTTGGTGAAATAAAATCACCAAAACCTTGATCATATTCAGCCCAGTCTCTGAAAATAAAATGGAAGCATCTGGATTATGTCATTCAAAGAGGATTATCTAATGGTCTTATAAATGTCTTTTGAATCTGCACAACCATTTAATACACGGAACTGCTTTTGTAAGAATGTTTGAGCCATGCTTCCGGACAGATGCAGTAGTAAACTCAATTGCTTTAAGTAGACTCTCTCCATGACAAATGATTTGACTGGATTCAGAAATACTGCTGTTATTTTGTAAATATTGGTATGTGTAGCTGTAACAACTAGATGTTCTTTTAGTGTTCTAGGTCCTGCTAAGAACCTAGAATACATCCTGTTGATATATGTTCCAGATCTCATTGGGTGATCTTGGGCCAGTCCCACTCTTTTCAGCCTGGCCTGCCTTATACAACTGTTATGAGGATAAAATAGGAGGGGGAATCATGATAGGCAGGAGAGTTACCTTGAGCCCATTAGAGGAAAGGCAGGATATAGTGAAACTAATAAACAAACAATAAACAGCCTCAGCCATCAGGAAGCTGAAACAGTGCTCATCTCAGATTCCAAACACTCCAAAGAAGAAGCTTTAGAGAAATGAATCCTCACATTGTTATTGTGAGAAAGATTTTTGAAGAAAAACAGCACATCTAAAATGTAAAATGTACATTGGTGTTAGATGATGGATGGATGGATGGATGGATGGATGGATGGATGGATGGATGGATGGATGGATGGATGGATGGATGGATGGATGGATGGATGGATGGATGGATGGATGGATGGATGGATGGAT